CATTGAATATGCCAATCTGACAGGAAACTGGCGACGTTTTAGAACAAAAGGTAAATTAGAATCTGACGGAGCCAACTGAATTCGAGGTACAAATACCCGTTTACCAGCAGAAACACCTGTCAAAACCTCTGCATCAATATAATTATTTTGAAGAGCACAAACTTTCATTCGAGTGCCATTGCATAACCCAGCTTTGAGATCTAAATTTCTAAGTAACATAATTATACAACCAATTTTAAACTTTAAAGAATGAGGAGGCATACCTGAGGGAGTTAAGCTATTTAAAAACTCAACAGGAAAGTTATTTCTTTCATTAAGATTGTCTGTCTCAACTTGATCAGCACTTAAATAAGTTTTGACCTCACCCGGTAGACGTTGAAGCACTTCCTCATTGATTGATAGTGAATCCACATTAGTTGGTGTCAAAATGACACGTTTAGCATAATCGTCTTGTTCGGCATCCCCAAATATCTTTTCAACAATGGAGTCATTTTCCCTAATAAGGCATTGATGCGGTATTTCAACGCACCCTTTAAAAGGATCTTCCTTTTTGACAAATACTGTTCCACTACCAAGTCTCAACAGCCAATTTGAAAATTCCCTTTCCCCATCATGTACTCTCATATTTTCTGTTAACTTAAACTTCTGCACCCATTGCCAATGTAAAGAACATTTTATACATGCTTCTACAACTTCAGCTGGTTGTCCTCTTTTCACAACAGGCAGTATTTGTCTAAAGTCGCCTCCAAAAAGAATGACTTTTCCTCCAAATGGAAAGTTGTTGTTGCAAACATCTTTTAATAACCTATCAATTGCATTCAATGCATGTTTGGGTATCATGGATGTTTCATCAAGCAAAAACAAACTAACCTGACTTAAAAAGTGTCCATGTATAGAGTTTGGAGTAACATTACATGTGCTGTTATCTAATATTGGAACAGGAAGTTTGAATAAGCCATGCAATGTAGATCCATTTGTAAGAAGAGTTGCTGCTATGCCAGTCCATGCAGCCGTAGCAGATTTGATACCTCTACTGCTGGTTTCAGCAATCAAATAATTATATGTAAACGTTTTTCCACTACAAGCCGGTCCATCCATGAAAAACAATCGAGAATGCTGATTTTCTACACTTGGTTGTTCATTCAATGCAGCAAGAATAGCATTACATACATTTAATTGATTGACATTGAGCAGTGGTCTCATTCTATTGGCTTCATCAATTGATTGTTGAACATTTTGATTGAAATTTTCTAGATTATCTAGATTAAAATCTAACTCAATAACAGGAAGATTATAATCCGCCAGCGTTTTACCACACTGATTAATAATCTTTTCAACTTGACAAAGAGCAGCTTGTTCAGCTATTATAAGCGGGACTGAGCGGTGAATAAAGTCCTCAATCATAAATGCTTTGTATGTATTCCAAAGATGCAAAGGATTGTCTGGTTCACAAAAAGTCAAAATAATTGCAAATAACTGTCTAATTTGCTTTGGCATACGTGTTAAAACTGCCTCAGAAAGTGCATTTTGCCATTCAGTGTCATCTTGTAACAAACCATTTAAAACGCATGCTTCACGAAATGTTTCAACAACAATACCATTAACAGTACGCACATCCACCCAAGACTTGGCTCCTTTTGCATGCAAAAGTAACAGCCTAAGAAAAAATAATTCTCCACTTGGATTAACTTTATACATTCTTACTATCACCTTATTACCACCTCTTTGTCTAACCTTCCATTTACAAAGCTTATCATCAAATATAAAATGATAAGGAATGTCTACATATGAATAGCAATGTGCTCTTTCATTTTCAGAATTTAACTTGAACCATGCTGTAAGGTGTGTATCACGTTGAGCTGCACGATCTAAAGCCATTTGTTCTGCTCCTTCTCTAAAATACACTAATTGATTCTCAGGAAGATGAACTTTAAGACGGATAATAGTGTGTGACATATGACTTATGGGATACTCAAAAATTCGCCACAATGCTTCAGGTGCACTAACATAACGACAGTCTAAAAAAGTGTTTACTTCATCATGATTAATTTGTTCATTTATCAAAATATTGGCACAGTCGTGACCCTTGTATATGTATTTGTACAAATATTTAACAGCCTTAACAGACATGCAAGCTTCAACATTAATGTGGGCTTGATATTTCTTTGATAACCATGGATTGTAAGGTACCACCCAGCGGTTATCTACATTGTTGCCTTTAATATTGATAACCAAACCATTATCACGACGCCTATAGCGAGGATAACCATTATGAACTACTACTGTGTTGGCATTAAATTCTTTAGGATAATTTTTGCTGCACACCCCATCTTTCATGCAGGTAGAATTTGGATTCAGTATGCCACATGGGCCATGAATCATGCAAGTTTTAATAACATCATAAAGTTCACGATTTATAATTGGATCTGGAATTTCAGCACATATTAAACTATTGATATCCTGTGCTGTCTCCAGCTTGTCATCAGTGGCAAAGTGAAGTAAAATATGAACATGTGGTAAACCACGCTTTTGAAATTCGATAACATGAACATGGGTTACGACTTTCCCTAATACACCATGCTTAAAAATATCATTTAGGAGATTATTTAATTTGAGTTTAAATACTCGTGTAACTAAATCAGGTCTATCATTTGCAGTTTGACCTGGATATAAATTTTCAGTTATCTCGCGCCATTTTGGGTTGCAGGTAAAAGTAATAAAAAGATCTGGTTTACCATACTTTTTAATTATAGCCATAGCATCTTCAAAGTTTTCTTTTAAAGCTCTAGGACTTCCTACATAAGTAGATGGCAAAACTACAACGCGCCCTACTCTAACATTATGATCGTTTTCAAGGTTGTCTACATGTTCATGTAAGGCATCATACTGCTCGCTTCTAAGTTTGTTTTGGTTATTTCTGATAAAAGCAAGGCGCTGGCCTTCAATTTTGACATATGCATCAACAGCATATTGCTGAAATAGTTTCTTGCCATAAAAGATTGAAGAAAAAATTTGTCTAACCGAAAGTCTATAATTGTAATACTGAGATAATGTAACATGATTTCTAACCAATGTAGCACGTTCAGGGTTGTGAACCAATTGATTATGCCAACCAGCATCACCCCTTGGGAAAAATAGAGGATAAACCATAGGATCTAAGTTGGCAGACATACTTGATATAGTTTTAAGAGGATGACCTCTCGGGTAAATAACAACTTCTCTGGAAGCAGGAGGAGCACCATCTTCACCAACAAATACAACTGCAACTTCATTATGTGAAGGGAGATTATAGCGACGTCTATCTTGCCCTTCAAGTAAAGACATTTTTACAACTGAGACTGAGCGACCTTCTATAGCTGCTTGGCGAATTTCTTCATCTTCCACTTCAGCCATGTTTTTAAATGCGAGAGCAAATGGGTTCTCCTCACTAATAACAGTTTGCAACCGAAACATTAAATCATTTAAGCAAAGATCATTACCAGGTTGTCGCATTCTAAAATTTATTGCTGCAAGTGGATCATAAATGTATAGTTGACAATATGTTGGAGGAATATCTTGATCTGGCCTAAGATTACCAACACGATGAAAAACCTGACCACATATTCTAAAACATGGCGGCCCATGATTCATGGGTTGAACTACATTAGCGGTAAATGAAGCAAAAGAAAGACAGGCATTATAATTTCGAATATATTTTAGAAAATTCACATTGGCATTTCGATCTACATAACTTCCTGTAAATAAATCTTGTAAATCTTGCGGAAATGGTGAAAGTTGAGACAAAACTACCTTTCCATTATGGCAACATAAAAAATGTGTTTCATCAGGAAATTTCTTAGCACCACAATGCTGACAAATATGATTCATTTCTCCTAAATAATTATAATCTGGAATAGTATTACTTCTTGCTATACAATGCATTCTTTCATGTCTACCAGCATATCTAGCATTCTGTTGATTATTAATTTCATCTCGCCTCAGCCTATTTCTTGCATTTCTGCGACGATTATTATCAACTTGCCTAATGACATTGTCCTCATTTTGATTCAAATTATTAGCAGCTTGCCGAGCAGCATATCTAATATTTTGAAGATGATTAATTTCATCTCGCCTCAGCCTATTTCTGGCATTTCTGCGACGATTATTTTCAACTTGCCTAATGACATTGTCCTCATTTTGATTCAAATTATTTGCGGCTTGCCGAGCAGCATATCTAGCATTCTGTTGATTATTAATTTCATCTCGCCTCAGCCTATTTCTGGCATTTCTGCGACGATTATTTTCAACTTGCCTATTAACATTTTCATCATTTTCATCCATTTAAATTTTACTTTTAATTGATAATAGTAACAAAAAAACTTGAATTAATCCAGAAGATTGTGATCTTTTTTTTTTTACTACTCTAAATTGCACATACAAATTATTTTTAAAAAATGACAGGAAATTTTTATTTAAAATAAACTAAATTATACAACAATCTTGTGCATTTTTTATAAAAAAAATTTCATAAATATATCTGGTAAGAGATGTTTAAACAAAAAATTAACTCATAATAATAATCTAAATAAAAAAATAACAAATAGGATTAAAAAATAATGAATAATAAAATTTGAATAATAAATTTGAATAATAAAAGTGCTGCTTAAACAAAAAATAGAAAAAAAAATTAAAAAATAAAGTATTTGTAAACCCTTTTTGTAAACTTCAAATTATTTCTATAAAAAAATTGTTTAAAAAATATTAAAATAATTTAACCTTCACAAACAATGAAATGACTGTTCAAAAGTTGTAGTTTAATTTAATTTTCTAAATTCTAAAGAAATAAACAAAAATCTAACAGCATCATTGAAATGTCAATAATATAATAAGCAACATGACAAAATTCAAATTCAATATATAAAAGATCATTTATCTGTTTTTCTTTTTTCTTATTACTTACTTTTTTTTTTTTCTTTATTATTAAGACTATCTATTTTACATAATAAAATATCTATATTAGATAAAAATTAGAAGATTAAATTTATTAAAGCTTAACATAAGTTAAAAGCAGTTATAAACACTAAACTATTGAATTCGAAACAATGAAAAGAAATAAAATCTGGTAAAAATCAACAAATTATAAACTTTAAAATATTAGAAATTTACATGTGGTTTTTTTTTACAGTTAATTATCTACTATAGTACATTTTTCTGATTTAACTGATATGATATATATTGGGGACAATTACAGTCATGTTATATTGTGAACCAAAAATTAAATGTCTAGTCAAAAATTAATAGTCTAAACAAATACTAAAAAAATAAAAACAAACAAAATTAAAATTATAAATTTATTTCATTGAGAATAAAACACCAAGGAAAAAACAGCAACAAAAAAATTGTAAATATCTTCACTGATTAAAGATATTTAAAATTTTTTTGTTGCTGTTTTTTCCTTGGTGCCTCCCAGCACCCCTGTATGGATGAGCTCTCCATTTAAATGAGGGCTCATCCATACCATTATTAAAGCACCATTTGTTAAAGGACCTCTCAGAAAGAGGTCCTGGGTGCTGGGAGCGATAAAGCCTGTAGCTGCTCCAATTTAGATCTAAAGAAATAAAAAATAATATAACAAAAAAAATAGATATTTGCATTTAAAATAATAATAAGATAAAAGCATAACTCTACCGGTTGCAGCAGTGCCAGACAATGCTAAAGAAATAGAAGGAAAAAAAAAGTAGAATAAAGTAAAAACTGAACATGTTGGTATTTGTGTTTTGAATAAAATTGCGATTTGAAAAAAAACGCATAAAAATATAAAACATAATCCTACCAACTGTAGTAGTACCAGATGACGATGCTAAAAAAATGGAAAAAATAAAATAAAAACTGAACATGTCGATATTTGTATTTCAATTAAAAAATAAAGCATAACCTTACCAATTGTAGTAGTACCAGATGTCAGCGCTAAAGAAATAAAAATTAAAATAAAAGTAGGGTAAAATAAGAGTAGGATAAATAAAAACTGAACATGTTAATTTTTGTACTTTAATAAAAATATCAAGCATAACCCTACCAATTGTAGTAGTACTACCAGATGTCAATGCTAAAGAAAGGGAAAATAAAATAAAAGTTAGATAAAGTAAAAACTGAACATCTTAATATTTGCATTTTTATAAAAATATAAAGCATAACCCAACCAGTTGTAGTAGTATCAGATGGTGAGGCTAAAGAAAAAGAGAAAAAAAAAAAGTAGAATAAAATAAAAACCAAACAGGTTGATATTTGTATTTTAATCTAAATATAAAGCATACCCTTACCAATTGTAGTAGTACCAGATGTCACTGCTAAAAAATAGAAAATAAAATAAAAGTAGGGTAAAATAAAAACTGAACATGTTAATCTTTGTACTTAAATAAAATTATCAAGCATAACCCTACCAGTTGCAGTCATATCAGATGATGATGCTAAAAAATGAAAAAAATATAAACTAAACATGTTGATACTTGTATTTTATTTAAATATAAAGTATAACCCTACATGTTGAAGTAGTACCAGAGAACGATGCTGAAAAAAAGAGGGAAAAAAGAAGAAGAGTAGAATAGAAAAAAAAAAAAAACAACAAAAAAAAAACAAATGTAATATTTGTATTTTAATAATCTACAATATAATTGCAAAAAAATAAAAAGCATAACCCTACCAGTTGTCACAGAGTTTGACACTAATAATGAGACTTAAAAAAAAATTAATGTTAAAAATTATAAAACATATAATAGTTAATAATAAAAAGTATGTATGTATCTAAATATAATTTTTACCTGTTTTCCTCATTTCTTCCATAAAATCATCTAAAACAAAAAAAAACTTGAAAATTTTATAAAAAAGACATAAAAAAAAATCAATCAAATCAGTAATTTGAAAAAATATCTTTAAATTAGGATAAATTAACAATGTTGAGTTAAATTTAAGGCACTATCACTACTCTGTGTGTGTGTGTGTGTGTGTGTTTGTGTGTATATTTATATATATATATATATATATATATATATATATATAAATTATCAATTGGTAAAATTATAAAATAATTTATACCTAGTCTAAGTTTCAATTTTCCTATAAAGTAAAAAGCAAGTTAAAAGTAAACAGTACAAATTATTAAATCCTAATAACAAATATTTAATGACAAAAATACTGACTGTATTTCTTTAGTGCTTTGTCTAAACAATAAATTTAAATACACTTTTATTAAAATCTTTTAAAGACATATATTATAAAAATTCAATAATTTTAAAAACAAAATTAATTGCTAATTGGCTAACTAACGATTATACCTTTATCAGGTCGCTTATGATAAACTAAACAAATTATAATACAATTAACATCTTGTTTTAGACAGAAGTTATCATTAACATATAAATTTAGTTCTACTAAAATAGTTACAAAATTTAAAACTTACTTTCATCTTCCCCATCATTGTTAACTAAATGAAAATTCAACTCCAAAAATACTCTACTATATACTACTAATATTTTAAATTCTACTTAAATATTTAAAAAATCAACACTTACCTTCAGTTTCATCTCCGTGGTTAACTAAATAGAATTTACAATAATAATAATATAAATCAAAATATAAATGAAAAAATAATAAATTATACTTAAATATTTAAAAAATCAACATTTACCTTCAGTTTCATCTCCGTGGTTAACTAAATAGAAATAAATATTATTTACAATAATAATATAAATCAAAATATAAATGAAAAAATAATAAATTATAGTAAACCAAAAAAAACAAAAAATCAAAGTTACACATTAAATAAACAGAAAAAAAAAATATACTATATACTTGATAATGTACTTAAAATGTAACTAAAATTATTATTATGATTATTAATAAGTCTTATTTATCTTTTAAATCGTTCAAATAGTTTTCACATAGTTTAAATTTTTCCTTACAATAAGACTCCTTTGATGTTAAACAAATAAAATGTTTTGAAAAAGATTAAAATAAAAACTTTACCGTTCATTTTTCTTTTTTGCTAATCTATAATAATTAAATTAATAAAATTAAATATAACCTATAAAGTAAAAATAAGATTTTTACTTTACAACTCTTCATCATTTTATAACAACGTTCTAAAATAAAAAATTGCAAAATTCAACTTAAGTAAACATGTAAATTGAAACTATATAAAAATGATTTCCCTAAAAAGTTAAGAGAAGTTCGTCAGGTCTGGCTCGGTAGACCTTTTGAGTGGACCGCATGTACTTAAAAAACGCGCTCTAAAAAAAGCCTAGAATCTACTTGAAAAAACAATAAACCATGACGTAACGTGACATTGAACATTGAAATTTTACAGTATTCATATTTAGAGATAGTAATAATAGTAACAATAACAACAATATCAATAATAATAATAATAATAAATATAATAATAATAATAATAATAATAAAAATAATAATAATAATAATAATAATAATAATAATAATAATAATATGGAAATAACATCTTTTCTAATTGCCAGTATCAAATTGATAAAGAAGAAATCTGTTTCTATGTCTGCACATAAAAACAATCTCACTCCTTTTATTCAGTAGATTAGTATTGTTATAATTTAGGATTTTATATTTTTCGGTGAGACATAGCTTACAAGATTTGGATGTTGGTTTATATGCTTTACATCGCCTGAGAATTTTCCACTTAACTATAGGAACTAAATTAGCCTTTTTTAACTTCCATACCTGCTTTGAGAGCTCAGTATCATTTTTGTATTTAGAGATGTTAAGAGATTTAAAGTGATTAATTATACAGGAGTCTCATAACAATATATACCAATATAGGATTTTTCATTTTGAGATGAATTTTGATTAGTGGTGGTTACAGTTGCTTGATGTACAATGTTGCTTGTTAAACATTTGCCTGTTGTTCAATACTTTTATTGAACAAAAGGCAAAGATTTTTATTAAAGCAGTTACATTTTTCTTGATTTGTGTTTGTATTGTTGCATAAAATGTATTTGTTGTGCGAATTTATAATCAATTTTACACTTGAAATGCAACTGTAGACTCTGTTCCTGTTGAAGATTTTATGCAGTTTGTTATTATTAAGAAAATGTTTGTCAATTGATTTTAAAAAACATTTTCCCACGTTGGTGTTAACATTTTTGCTAAATGGAGGGTTAAACCAAATGATGTTGCATGCTCTGTTTCGTTTTTGACTTGATGTTGCTTTAGGATTATATGTTAGACTACATTTATAACCAGACAAATAAAATAAAAATACAAAACTCGGTTGAACTTAGATTGTCTACAAATTCCTCTACCAAAGAAATATTTCAATATACTAATGCTCTATATAATGAAGCTTTATTAAAGTCTGGTTATAAATGTAGTATAACATATAATCTTAAAGCAATATCAACTCAAAAACTTAAACATGAAACTAGGTTAAAGTAGGTTCTTAAAATGTTGATGGGCACTGGTTCAATATATTGTAAAAAACAAAATGATGCTGGATTTATAAAATAGGCTTATAAATTTTTTTAAAGCTTTTAATAAACTTTGATTTAAAAGGATTACCAAAAAAATAATAATTTGAATAATCAACCTGGGTCAATGGTTACAGACATTTTAATAAGAATGATTTAAAAAACTCTATATAATGTGTATGTGTTTTATTTTAGGAGAAAAATTTATTGGATCAGAAAAATTACTTGATAAAAGAAGAGAAGGTAACTAAAACATTTAGACAACTTTTGTTTGTCTAACTTTGGTTGTGAGCAGATTTTTTATTTTATTTTTTTAATATAAATAACAAACATAAATACTTAATATCACTAAGTTATCACCTATTTTGTTTAATTTTAGGCAATGCCATTAAACGTTGACACTTTAAGTCAACCAGGATTTTCTAAAACAGTAAGATATTTTTTGTTGATGTTTTTTATTTATTATTTTTTATATTTTTTAAATATTTACATATATAAAAATATTTTTTTCATATATAAAAATCTTTTCAAAAACTTGAGTAACTTATTGTAATAGTTTTAAAATTTTTTGAAATAAAATCATACATTAGCAATAACAAAAATTTATTTTGATGACTGTCAAAGAATATTTTTTCTGGTCAATTATGATCTTTTGATGTATTGTTGATAATGTTTCTTTGCTTCCATAATGGCATTATCAACTCTGAATACAAATATCTTTGTGTATTAAGTCTTGCATAATATATGACTTGATGCTGAACGCACAAATCAAGAAAAATTTCTGATGAGAAGTAGCATAATATACAGTAACAAACTCAATGATAATAATCAATTTTTGGAATAAACAGTTTCTTATAATCAATGTTTGGAATAAACAGATTTGTGTATTAAGATTTTTTTTAAGCTGTGTAATAATAATGATTAGTTTACATGGTTTCAGTGAGTTTTTCATGATTCGTTTACATGGTTTCATTGTTTTGTAGTATTAAAATTTTGAATAAAAGTGCATTTTTAATGATTTCATCTTTCAAGAAAAACATTTTATTTTGGTTGGACTATTTATATTACAAATATTGAATTTCTTTAAGTGATCAAGCTTTTAGGATTGTTTGTGATTTTTACAAAAAAAAAATATTATATTGTGCAAATATAAACTTGTTAACATTTTCAAGATTTTTAAACGATTTTTAACTGGGGATTTTGGTGCAAAATTATTTTATACCTGGAAAGCTAGGAATTGATGAAAGATGTAATTAAGTTAATGTAAAGATGTAATTAAGTTAATGTATATTAAAGTCATAAAAAAGTTGGAAATATGCAAATTTAATAAATATATATATTTAAGCCAATAGTAAGCTGTAATGTCACAATATTTATGAACCAAATGGAGCAATAATAAAAATAATGGTAACAGATGTCAATAAAAAATTATATTTATGATCAATAACAAAGTTAATGTTGTTCCATTGATTTTTATGAGATAATTTACATGTTTGAATCTTAAAACATCACAGTTTTTAATGCCATTTATATAATTGATTTTTTAATCTAGATCATAAATAAACCTCAAGTAAAAAAAGAAGAGCTGTCTGAAGAGGAAAAAATGGAGCGATCGGTACTTTTTTATTTTTAAACTGTTTTTCAAGTTTTTTTGTTGTAAATAATTTTATTTAATATTTTAATCTTTTAAAAACAAAAACCTTTTAAAACCAAAATGTTTAATTTTATTTTTAACTATTATTATTATTTAAATTAATTTAATATTTTTAATAATATATTTTTTATTATTTAAATTATTTTAATAAATGTTTTTAATATTAATAACTTAAATTTTAATTTTTTTTTTTAATAGAAAAAGTTTATGGAAGAAAACAAAGCAGATATAAAAAAATATGGTATGTTACATGAATATCACGATAGCGAAAGTATGCTGTTGAAAAATCCACATTTGGCATGTGAAGACACTGCTAATTACTTAGTTGTCTGGTGTATAGACTTAGAAGTTGAAGAAGTAGGTGCTATTTACTTTGTTGTTTGGTATTTAGACTGTATAATTTAATGTATAATTTTTGATTTGATTTAATATAATGAATTTAATGTTATGTTTAATTACCATGAAAGCATAAAGTAATTGTGTGCCAATTTTGACATCTTATTTAACTTCCTGGTTCTATAAAAATTTGTTTAAAGTCATCTATTTCTTGGCACCTATAAAGAAACAATATTAAACAACATTAAGAAAGTATTTTAAAACTTTTTTTGAAATCATTTGAGTATTATACTCTTATCAATGTTTTTCTTTATATTATTATTTTTTATAGAAACATGCTTTGATGGAAAGAGTGGCACATCAAACTATTTGTATGCAATTTCTTTTGGAGTTAGCTAAACAACTAGAAATAGATCCCAGATCAGCAATAAAAAGTTTTTTTCAAAAGTAAGTTTCAAACATTTATACACTATATCTTTATTTAAAATGACAGTAGTCAATGGTTAACAACCAGATAGACTTGTTTTATTGACCCTCTGAATACAATTTTAGGCTATTTAAAAATTATCAGAACAGACAACAGAATACAGAACAGAATAAAGAAATCAGAAATATATTTGAAAATTTAAAGTTTGTAAAAAACCAAAGGTTTTCACAATATTTTGATTTAACATTTTAGGTCTGCACATTATTATTAGTTATGTCAACCCTGGGTTTTGAAATCCTAATCTAAATTTAATAAATAAAACCTATCTATTACCATTCAATTATATTTTGATGGCAAGAGACTCTCAAAAACATTAAAATACTCTTCAAGAATATTCAAGATAGTTGTTTTGTGAGCTAAGGGAATAAAATTTTATTTTTCTCTCAGTGAACATAGTAATGGAGAAAAACTTACACTAATGGTAACCAAATCTATTGAAGATTAGTGAAACTAATTTGGTGTATATTGGAGCAGATTTTAGGCAGGGCTATAACATAAATAGAGGTTCTATGTAATTAAAAATGGGGTTATATGTATGAATCATATAAATGATGTTCCTCTCATACATCTTAATTGCAATCTAATGGTAAATCAACTTATAGTAATCTAATACTAAAACAACTTCTAGTAATCTAATGGTATAACAACTTCTAGTAATGGGTTCAGCATAGCTTTTAGTAAACTATTGTATTATGAGCATCAAAACGGTTGATGTATTAAATGCATAATTGCCTGTAACCTAAGAGTTTCCTAAAATAATCATTGTTAAATGACCAGTTGAGATAAAGATGTGTTTTGTGACAAAAAAACATCTTACAACAATGGGAGAGTGGCTCAAGCTTGGCAGATAAAGGAGATCTAATTTATTATTTGTTTTTTATGTTAATTCACCTCTCCAAGTTTGAAAATGCCACTACAGACAAGGAGGCTAGTTAATTGTGGTTATAATCTTCTCTCAACCATATAGCACTGCAACATGAACCTTGACAATCAAGGCCGCTGCACAGAGAAACAAGTTAAGTGCAGTACTACCAGGAAAGTGGTGGGGGTTGAACTCGGTAAAACTTTAAGGGCACCACAAGATACCTTGTGTTACCTTCAAGTTACTTGAAATAAAGAAGAGTGTAGGCCTTCAAGAATAGCTTTATTACTGCAGTTAGTAAGAAATAATTTAATAATCTCAAAACCTCTATATACAAAGAAACTGAAAACTAATCGTTGGATAGTAGAGGTCAAAGAGTTTTCTAGAGTTTTGAAAAATTGGAATCATTTAATTAGGACTTTTTAAAAATTAAATATTATTAAATATTATATTATTAATAAGATTAAATGTTAGATTCTGAGATGCGGTTTATGCATACATATTATGGGTATAAACATATATGTTTACTATTTATTTTGCTGGCATACAATATCCTTTCATATTTATGATGATGATGATGATGATGATGATGATGATGATGGTGATGATGATGATCATGATCATGATCGTGATGATGATGATGATGATGATGATGATGATGATGATGATGATGATGATGATGATGATGATGATGATGATGATGATGATGATGATGATGATGATGATGATGATGATGATGATGATGATGGTAATGGTAATGGTAATGGTAATGATGATCATGATGATCATGTTGATCATAATGATGTTTATCTATGCATATATATACAAAATATAACGTGAGTTTTAAATAAAAAAAATTATACTGAAGGATGTATAAATGTTTATGCAGCCCTGGTCAAATATCAATCCTGGTCGTTTACTATTTGGTGTGTGGGTTGACTTGCAAAAATGATTTTGGCAGTTGTTCTGCCTCTAGCCATCTGCACTTCCTTGTGTGGTTTAACTAACTCACTTCTAATCTTTGATAATGACATGGTCAAGCAAGTTAAACATGCAGTGCAAAGACAAGAGGTTTATGCAAGTTTCTACTTCATTTTGTGTGGTATTCAAACACTGTGCTTGATATTTACTCAAATCATAGAAGTTTCTAGAACTCTCTAAGGGTTTTCAGAAAAATCACTCATTACTTTTCAGCCAACTCGATAGTTTCTAAACAATTTAACAAAACTTATTTAGGTTTTCAGTTTTCAGAAACCTTGATATGAACTATATATGAGATTCAAAAATAATGATAAACTTGCTTGTACTAAAAGTGTTAAACTTTTTATTCATGCATATATATAGATATATATATTTTTCCATTATTTTTTATATTAGTTTATTATCTTTTTAGAATGCGTAAAGCTGATGAAACTTATGATAAAGGTTTTAAAGATGAGCTTTCTGCTTTTATTGGGAGAGTCAAAGAAAGAGCCCAGGCTCGAATTGATAAAGCTATGAAGGAGTATGAAGAGGTTAGTTATAAAAATTTATGGCTTTTTAAAAAATTTTGAATTTACTGTAGTGGTGGATCATTTTTAATAAATATTTGACATATTTTCATAAGTAATGATGAAGAGTACTTAAAATATTTCACTTTGGGTTCTAAAATCATAATTTTAGGAATCTGTTTAAAATCTAAAAAAGCAATTTATTATTGTATAATTTATCATTTACAATTCATCTTGCCAATATTTCTTTATTTTATTTTATTTCTTAATTTTTTTTTTCTTTTGAAATGTCTTCCATTTTATGATTTACTTATATGCGATAGCAAGTATTTTCACATAACATAAAAATATATATGCAGCATTAATTAAAACACAATTTAATCATAAATAGCCAATAAAGTATTCTTATCAGAGCTAAAAGAATTGAGATAAATAAAATGTAATGATAATGGAAAATAAATTTGTTTTAAAGTGTCTTACCCCACCAAAAACATTTATTTTTTAAATAAATAATTTTTGTTTCTAAACAATATTTAGAATATATCTTTGCAGACAACTAGTGAGAAAAATAAAGGAAAATGCTAGTGTCTGAGTATTCTTGTCAGCAGCTACCTAGCTTCTATGAAATTATGTAATAGTTGGTTTAGGTTATGGATCTACACATTTAAATTAATGCTATCAGGAATCCATTACTGTTCTAACTTTATAGGGTTTTTAAAGCTTAATGGAGTATTATTAATTTTTTTATACTTGTAATATAACAAATCTTTATTAAAATACAATTTTTTTTAAAGGAGGAAAGAGCGAAAAGATTGGGTCCTGGTGGTCTAGATCCAGTAGAAGTTTTTGAATCACTTCCTAAGGTATGACTTAAAAAAAATTATATACATATATATATATATATATATATATATATATATATATATATATATATATATATATATATATATATATATATATATATATATATATATAGATATATAGATATATAGATATATAGATATATTTAAAGAAATAATATATACTAAAGAAATAATATTTATCACAAAATTGTCTGTCAATTATAGGGGATGTTTTAGAAAATCAAAATTATACAATTCAATTCAAAAGCGAAGTAAAGAAACTTTGCTTTTAATTTTAATTGCCTAAAAGTCAACAAACTAAAAGACATTCACAATAAAAAGTTATATTAAAATATTTGTTATCAGTATTTGGAAATACATAAAAAAGGTAAATGAAAATGAAAACCAACAGTTAATGCATAACAATATACAAATGCAAATATGCTAATGCATAATGCATTACAAGCTATACTTTATTTGTGCATGTATATATATATATATATATATATATATATATATATATATATATATATATATATATATATATATATATATATATATATATATATATATATATATATATATATATATATATATATATATATATAATTACAAATATTTGTATTCTACCTTTACAATCCAAGCTGATTACTAACTGATATTCCACCATATTGTTTATAAATGGTTTATTTTTATTATTTCTATAAGTCTATTTATTCATATATATTTTACTTTATGGCGTTTGCAGCTTTATTTTTACAAAAAATGTTAAATTCTATAAAAGTTAAAAAAAGGTAAAATTTTCAATATTAAACCAAATTAGATAAATTAGTCTTAAGTTGAGTAAACTAACCTTGAGGTAATAGTTTTTCAGATTGATTTAAAACATTTTTCATTTTGTTTGCAAGCAAGTGTCGAATTTGCAATTGAAGTGATTGCAAATTGAGATATCTGGAAAAATATCTGGTTTTTTATTTCAAGTTTTATAAACAGTTTAGCATTTCTAAACTGTTACTAATGCTCCAGAAAAAGTGCACTAGTTTTAAAATGAACCATTTACTGGTTAACTTTAAAATTAACACACATTTTTCCAGACTTAATTATTCTTATTTGCATAATTATACTTATTTAAATCTTTTTTTTCTTCAATATGTTGATTAAGTGTTGTTTGAACAAACAAAAAATTACAATTGTAAGTTATTGGTTAATTATAAAAGTAATAAAACACTATTATAGTGTTTTATTACTTTTTCAACTTAGTGACTATAGTGTTTTTACTATTGTAGTTTTGAGTTTATTGCTTTGTTTTATTTTTTATAACTTCTTTGTTAACAAATTTAAGTTAGTTTCCCCCATGAAAGCAAAGTATACAGTTTTGCATAAACCAAAATTTTGAAAACCAAATATTTATCCAGATATCCCAAATCTAGATCACTTGTGTGCTAGCAAATTTTAGTTTAAGCTCAAAAATTACTTATCAAAGGGGACTTTTAAAACAGAAAAACTGATGCTTGCTCATTACAAAACTCAAGAGCTCTTATAAGATAATTTTATAGAGTTGTTGGTAGTTTTGGCTGGGAAATGTTTGATTTTCAATAAACTCAAGTTTTTGCTGATGACAGCATATGCTTAAGCTATAATTGAAATCTGAGGAATTTATATGCTCTAGACAGTGATATGTTGATGCACCTCAGTCTAATCCAAGAAAAGACTTGCAGGTTTCCATTGTTATAGCTTTTGTGAAAGCAGCACAGACAAAGAAACTCTAAAATTTCTTGAGGTTCACATAAGTTTTTTTTTTAAAAACCCAACAATTACCAAGATAATTTTTTTTTTCACGCCTGAATCATGAAAAGCTTAAGAACATGAGCCTTTAAAAAGAAAAGGGTTGTTCCTTTTAAAAAGAAAAGGGTTGTTCCTTTTAAAAAGAAAAGGGTTGTTCCTTTTAGCAAAGTGGTGTAGCATTGACACATCTTTAGAAAATATATTTTTTCTCTTGATATGACAAAATAATTTTTATCTGAAATATATTTACTTTGAATTTTTATAAAATTTAAGTCATCTAATATTGATTGACTTTGTTGTTAGAATGTAACTGTCAATGTTACCCTCTGTATAAAATAGATAACATTACACTCTGGCGTAACATACACATTAGTATATTTTGCCCTGTAAATGTTAATTTACATTGTGAGAAGTGAAATTATTGTAGTTTTGACTAGCAAAACAGAGAAAATATTTTCTATATATTCTAGCACCAACCTACATTTTCAGTTTTAAAAATTACATCATTAAATAGTTGTAAAATTGACATAAAAATGTAATTAAAATATTATTTGAAAGATAATATTAGCCACAGTTTTGATAGTGTCTACTTGAAGATATAAAAAAGTTAATTTATCATTAAATATTTTTTTTCATAACAATACCTATGAATTTTTATCTTTTTGACAGACTTTTTGGTGTTTGTTTGGTTTTCTGAAACAACAAGATAATTTTTTACATCTTCAGGTTCTGATGTTTTGTTCTTATCAGTGTTATGCAACATTATTAGGTGTGTTTTTAGAGCTGTTAACATTTGATGTATTGGTATATTTTTTTAAAAATTAACTCTTTTGGGTTAGCTTTATTTGATTTCATTTTATTAAAGTGTGAAAAATTCATTAGACTAAGACATTCCACCAACTTTCGCTTGACCTATGGGGCTAACTTTATCATTTCTGTCAATTTTAACCTAAAACTGAAATATACATTTAAAAAAATACTGCAAAACAAATAATACATAATGCTTAGTATTTAGAAACAACTTTTATCTTTTAAAGGTATTAAATTTAAAGGTGAATAAAAATAGTTATATTTATTTGTTTAACATCTGGCTACAGCATCTGTTAAAATAATTTTAAAAATTGTCAACAAACAGGTTTTTAGTGGGAAAGGGTCTCTTAGCTGGTCATTGGGGTACTTCGATTGTATTGAAACAAGCAACTTCACAAATAAAGCAACGGCACAAAGGATTTGATCTTATCAGAGCTGTAAGAATAACTTGAAAAAAATGGTCTGAATCTTTTTATCTGCTGCTGCATTTTAAGATTGTTGTAGACTGTAAATGATTAAAAGAAAGTTAAATTGATTGTAAACCATGAAAGCTACATCAAAATTTTGAAAGAACGTTGATGTAAAATATAGAACCTTTCCTGTAAAAAAAGTGAAGTATTATTATTATTTTTTTAATGTTATTCACCTTCCCATAGCTGAGGGGCTACTACAGTCGAGAGGGTTACTTTTTTTTGTGATTACAACCCTCTCTAACACAACCCTCTCTTAACAAGCACCACTACCTCATTAGTGAGGTAGCGGTATTTGATAGAGCACCACATCTTATATTTTATACCTCTTTAAACATAGCATTTAAAATTACTTTTTTTCAGAGTTTGCAGGAATGCTTTGAATCCAAGGATATTGCTATGCTCCAAGAAACGATGTCGTCATTACCCGAAGAAGAAGCAAGATATCATTTAAAACGATGTATAGACTCAGGGCTATGGGTTCCTGGTCCAACTAGTGAAAATGAAACAAACAATGAAACAAGCGCTTGAAGTTTAATGTTCAGATTCAGTGTATTTAAATGTAACAACATTAAAAAAAAAAAAACGTTTCTTAATATCAACATTAAAAAGTCTTAAGAAACAACTTTTTGTTTCTTTGAATGTAAAATGTTTTATCTCTGTATGTAATTAAAGTTATTGCATAATATAAATATGTTTTTTTTTTTTAGTTTTGTTTATTTTTAAATGATTTTTTTTTAAAGAAGTTTTTCTAATCAATTTTAAATATTCTGAATTTTTTAGAATATTTTAATTAAAATAGCAAAAAACAAGTTTCTGCAGTTTTATTATCTATTTAATGAGTAAATTGTATAGTTGAAGATATTTTGTTGAACTTCAAGTAAATGCTTTTTTTAACTTATTTTTGTTACTTATAATGAAAAAATAGTTAAAAAAGAAATAATTATCAAAATTGATTTAAAATTGAGAGAAATCATTATTGAAATTGAGAGAAATTGTTATAAAAATTGAGAGAATTCATTATTAAAATTAAGACAATTCATTATTAAATTTGAGAGAAATCATTATTAAAATTGAGAGAATTCATTATTAAAATTGAGAGAATTCATTATTAAAATTGAGAGAAATCATTATTGAAATTGAGAGAAACCATTATTAAAATTGAGAGAAATCATTAATAAAATTCAGAGAAACCATTATTAAAATTGAGAGAAATCATTAATAAAATTCAGAGAAACCATTAATAAAATTGAGAGAAATCATTAATAAAATTCGAAGAAACCGTTATTAAAATTGAGAGAAATTGTTATAAAAATTGAGAGAATTGATTATTAAAATTAAGATAATTCATTATTAAATTTGAGAAAAATCATTAAAATCAAGAGAAATCATTATTAAAATTGAGAGAATTCATTATTAAAATTGAGAGAATTCATTATTAAAATTGAGAGAAATCATTAATAAAACTCAGAGAAAACATTATTAAAATTGAGAGAAATCATTAATAAAATTCAGAGAAACCATTATTAAAATTAAGAGAAATCATTAATAAAATTCAAAGAAACCATTATTAAAATTGAGAGAAATCATTATTTAAAAAAATTATAATAACTAATCAGCTTCTTCAAGTTATAATAATAAAATTTATAGAAAAAAAAATTTTTTGTATCGAGTTTCATGCTAGATAATAATTGATCATTTTTGCTTTTTCATTATTAATTCATAAAATAAATTCTTTTTTTTATGTTAAATCTTTTTATTTTAATTAAAAACAGTTTACATTCAATATAAATGATTTAAAATTGTTTGACTCATTATCATGGAGGAAGTTGATAGTATTATTATCCATACTTTAAAGCAAATTGGATGGTAAGTTTTCTAATTATGTTTAATTATACTTTAACCTAATTGGTCTTGGTCAATAAAATACAAAGTATTAAAGATGATTAAATAATAATTTGCAACTAATTTTTTTTAATGAGGTTTATTATGTCTTTCTTACAAGAATTATTGGACATTAATTCTTTGCTAGTAATTTGACCATGAATGTAAGTATTTCTTCTGGCCTGACTGAAGACATGACAAGTTCTTTCAGATGTCATTTTTATGATTGAGTAGAGACAACTTTGATGATTCAACAGATTGTGTATGAGGATGATTGTGTATTTTTGGAATTAATTATGAAAGTTAATGTCTGTATTATAAAAATTAAACTTTACTGATTTCATATCTGAATTCTTTTTTGGACCATTATCCACTTTTGAAATAAAAGACTGCGCACACTAAACGAATAAAGACTGCGCACACTAAACAAAAAAAAAGACTTGCACACTAAACAAAAACTGCGCTAACAAAGACTAGTACACTAAACAAAGAAAACAGTATCAAGGTTTTTAATGCAATAATCCTATATTATTTTTGCAAATACTGCAGTTTTACCTATATTGGCAGCGTTGTTGTTGTAAAAAACGTTGAAAAAATTTTTGTGAAAAAAATACATTGTTTATTATGTGTCAATCATGAAATGGTGCTCCAAATTTGATGGAAAGAGCATTTAATATCAGTTACAATTGTTCACTCATGGTAAACATGTGTCAGGTCAGTTGATCGCTTGTGAAAAGAGGAAGCTGTTACATCAGCAATTATCAAATTTTAACCTTGAAGATGAGATGGTAATAATATAATTTGGCTGAAGGTCTTGTACTAGGTTGTATAACTGTCATTATAATATGAGGAACACACAATGTATCAATGGAAGATCAATGTAGCCATTGCCGTTTTACTCAGATGCTTGTTCAATTTGTTCAAACTTTGTATTTTTGAAGTGATGTTAAATTGATACTTTTAACTGTAAATTTACCCTAAGTTTAGTAAAAATTGTTTGTATCATTAATACATTGTAGAGAAGTCATAAACATTTAAAACAGAATCTGTGTGTCAGTTGTTGCATTGAGTATAATCAGAAAAATAACAGAACAAAACATTTATTTTTATTTTTATTTAACAATGTGTACAAAAAAATAGCTAATGTATGTCTGACAGTATGAATTCAGCATTGCCAACTTGGTATTATACACATAATACTTTTGTTGAATTTTTTTGGTTGTAATACAAACTACCTCCAGTTTGGAGCCCTATTTCCGTGATAATTGTATATTTTACAACAGGTACTATTAAAAGTTGAAGATGCAAAGCAAATTTTTTTTTTTAAATAAGTTTTTTATTAAAATTTTTACTGTTGGGGTCGACTAGGATCGGCAAATATGACAGAAAAACAGAGCCATGTGGCACTAAAGACCAGCACATAGTATAATTTAATTATAGGTATATAGTTGTTTTATTGTTTTTTTTAAAAAAAAGCAATTTAAAATTTTTTTACATTGATTATGCAGACTAAACAGGAAAAAGCTTTTTTATAACTATTTGTATAATAATCATCATTATATTTTTTGTTTGATGAATTTTATGTACATATAGTTCAGATAAAACAAATAAAAAAATATAATGATAAAAATAGCATTATAAATTTCAACCCTTTTCTAAGGTCTTACTTGCTATCTGTTTTTTGATATTTTATTGAGTTTCTATTATCTTTAAATAGTATAAATTAGGATGCAATATGATTTTTAGATTGATGTATGGCAGTGTTAAATATCTTACTTTAATTTATTTAAGTTTAATGCATGCTGAACATTTAATGCATGCTGAACATGACATTTAACGCATATTTCATATAAGCAATACTTCCGTATAACTTTTTTTGAAATTTTAGATATCTTTAAATTTAACTTTTAGCTGTTGAAAAGTTTTATTTTTTAAGTAGTTTAAGTGTGAGTAACATATTGTTTCAATTTTTATCTTATTCAATGCTTCTTTTTTTTTTCATTATTTATTTTATATTTTATGGTTTAATATAGCTAGCTTTTTATGTCATAAATTATATTTTGAATACTTAGTAAAAGATTTTTATATTGTAATTATATATTATTAAGTGATATTCCATCTGAGATTGTTTCTATTCGTGAACTTTCTGTTGAACTTGTAATACAAGCGTCTGTGAAATGTCTTCAAGCAATTAACAGCCAGTGCAACATTTCTTCAGTTTTTCCAGAAAATATGTCTGCTAGATTTCGAATTGGGACAAGTATTGCAACAGCTTGTCAGGTTTTTTATTTTTTATCTTTAATTAAATCTCTTGAAAAAAGAATAAGTTTATTGTTTTTATTTTATTTTTTAGGAACTTGGTTATCATGGAGAACTTGGATATCAAACATTTTTATATGCTAATGAACAA